GCTTCTTGCTCTTCCCAGAGTGAAGTTTACTAATCTACTAAAAAGAAAGATTTTCCATCTCTGCATCACATCTTTATCATGTCCCCCCTTTGAGGATATATGTTGTCCTCACAGCGTTCAGAAAAGATGTGATATTGGCTTCATACATAAGTACATAGCTATTAAATCAATGAGCAATGGGATGGCAACTCTGAGAACACATTTTCCCTAGGTGCCTAGGCCAGGAAGTCAACACAAGTAATGGCCAGACATTTAGAAGAGAAAAATCAAAGTAACTTGACTTGCATCTCATGATAGTAGCTCAGAGCTGCTCAATGACTATATCAATCGGATTCATCTATAGAACATTTGCAGTTCTCCTGCCATGGTCAGAGAAACTTGCCATGAAAGGAGGAGGAGAAACGTGACTGTGACCATATCAAGAGTATTCCCTCAGATCTAAACCTAGAGTCACAGACTGTTATTGTACCTAGAGGTATAACAGGAGAAAACTCTCTTAGTTCTGTCTGATTTCGGGTAAAAGTAATAGCTACCTTTTAGAACAGACAATCATGCAACAGAGTTCCATATTATTCACAGTGTGTACAAGGTTTAGATTCAAGCCTTCCTGTTAGGAAAAGAAATAGCGCAGTGGGGAAACTGAGTCAAGAGGCTATCTTCTCAACTTTCACAATCAGAAACCAGTCTCTTCTGGAAAATCAGTTTCTTTCTGGGGGGGAAAAGGGCAACTAGGTGGCACAGTGGATAGAGAATGGGTCCTGGAATCAGGGGGACCTGAGTTCAATCCTGCCTTAGACACTTGACACTTACTAGCTGTGTGACCCTGGGCAAGTCACTTAACTCCAATTGCCCCCCCAAAAAAAGGGGGAGAGCAAAAAGAGCCTGCAAATCGTAAGTCAGTGAATTTGACTCCAATTCCTCTAGAATGGATCATTAAAATAATGGTTAGTCAACATCTAGAAAGAAGTGAGTACCAAGAGACAGTATGGCTTCATCACATCATACCAGGCGATCTTTCCTTTTGGGTGGCAGCTAGGTGGCGCAGTGGATAGAGTCAGGAAGACCTGAGTTCAAATCTGACCTCAGACACCTGAAGCTTATTAGCTGTGTGACCCTGGGCAAGTCACTTAACCACAATTGCCTTGCAAAAAAAAAATTTTCCCAGAAGATGCTCTATGTTGGTAACTCTTGGCATTTCCTTTGAATGGTGGAGGACTTGCTTAACAATAACCAAACAGTTATACTTGATTCAGAGCAAATCAAATTAGAGTTCCTTTGGCTCAGGATAGACTTGTTTTCCATGTTGCATAAACAATAACTAAGAACATTTATCTTCAGTCCTTATTAAGCACATACAAGGAGTTTCATTTATTCATCATTTTACTTTTCTTTTTAGTTTAAATACATCCTGATATAAAAATCAATTAAGAAGAATAAAATATTCACATTCTGGAGTTGTGTACATAACACGAATAATTGTGTTGTTTAAATTACATATACATATACACACACACACACACACACACACACACACATATATTCAAAACCTGGCTACTATTAACCTGGCTGTCTTAAGGTAATGCATATTAACCCCTAAAGGAAAAAAAAAGAAAAATCCTTTAAACTGGAGTCTGTTGGCTCAAAGATGTAACTTCAATAAATAGTATTCTGGATACAATGCCACAATTTTCATAATCAGTATTCAGATAATGTACTATATAAATCACTTCTATACCATAAGCAAACTTAAATCATCTCCCTCTGGCTATGAATAGTTATGCTGGGTCAGGGCTTAGTACCTCTGTGAGGCAATTATTTCTAGGCTCAGGGTAGAAATCACAAAAGAGTTTCCTTTGCATACCCCTGCCAAGTAACTCCTTTGTTTTTTTTTTCTTTTTCTTTTTCCCCACAAAGTTGATCTTACCAAGGTTGAAAATTCAGATGATCTGGCAACACTCTCCCAGACAATGAGACTTCCCAAGCCAATGAGGAATTTTTGACCGACCACAGCATGGCCCAATGTACATGAAAGACAGCCTTTATCCAGAAGGGCATTGTGCCTTCAAGGCAAGTCCCCAATGAGTAGAGGCTCAGAATTATAAAGTTACCTCATTCAGATTAAAAGAGGAGCCAAGCTCCAGAAAACCAATCAATCGATGAGCATCTGTTAAGAGGAAGCTGTGTGCCAAGCATGGTTACGAAGCGCTAGATGTAATCCAAATGCATTACACTCTGGGTATTCTACCTCAAAATAAACATTTTTATATGATGGTTTCCTAAAATTACAATGCAGGAAATCATAAGCATAATATTAACATAAAGGAATCCGATGTTGCCAGTCAAGTGGTCCTAATCCAGCTGAATGCATTTCTGAATTGTCTTCCACAGAGAAACCCTTCCATTCATTTACCAGTTTTTGCATTCCATACTGGCTACATTCAGAGACCAGAAGGCAGTAATTGAAAGCAGAACTCACTGACTTTCTGAGGAGGGAACCAGCATTTCTCCACACAAAGCTCACACCATAGAAACCTTCCCATTCTCTTCTTTCTTGTCTTAACGAGACCCAAAACTTCCTTAAACTTTTCTGCTAAATCTTGGGCTTTGGGCCTAACCAGACATTTTAAGAGCTGGCAAAGATGAGGACTTTGTATAGCCCTGACTTGGGTGAAAATCACTAGCCCTTCTCACTTCTTGCCTTCTAATGAGGGCGTGACCATGCTGTGTCTGAGTCAGCACAGGTATGGCTGCAATCTGTAAGGTGTCTGGGAAGATGGCGGCCACATTGGCTCTTCAGTACTGAACTCTGACTGGCGGGGTCCAGGATTCCGCAAGGGTTGTGTCCTCGATGGCTGCTTAAACATCAGCTCCCTTTCACCTCGTTTTTCTCCTTCCCATCCTTACTCGCTTGGAGGCAAATGTCACTCAACAGCTCGTGGGCATGGATGAATTTGGGATGCTGAATGGAGAAGGGCCCTGTGAGAGGCTACCTTTGCCAATGGATCATCCTACAATCATTTAGGCACCTACCATGTGCCACTTTCTGTGCTAATAGAACCTGGCACACAGTAGGTCCACATAAAAGAACAAAGAATCAAACTTATTAATCTCTTCAGGGCTAGAGAGGATGAGAATGAGCTCCCAAATCATAGGGTATAAATGAGGTTTAGAGTTGCTTCACCATGTCAGGCACATCACATGCCTGAAAGAGCTATTTTATAATGTGCATCCTCAGGACACTTAGAGAGGTAGCTAGGTGGCTCAGTGGATAGGGGAGACTTGGAATCAGAAAGACCTGAGTTCAAACCCAGCTTCGGATACTTCCGAGCTGTGGGACCCTGGGCAAGTCATTTCACTTTATCTGCCTCAGTTTCTCCACTTGCAAAATTGTGATAACAGCAAACCCTCCCCCGCCAAGGCTGTTGTGAGGACCAGATGAGGTAACACATGCAAAGTGCTTTGTCATCCTCAAAGCTCTACAGAATTATTATGGCAATAACCAGTCTCTGAGCGTATTTTCCCTGTGATGTGGTAAGTTCCTACACTTTGAAGGTGTTTTAGTCCATGGTGGGACAGCTCGACTTGGCAAGCATTTGAAAGCCCTGGCATCAGAGGGGTTAAGTGAGCAGCTCCCCTCCTCCTCCTCTTCTTCCTCTTCTTTCTCCTCTTCTTCATTGCAGGAGGTGCTAGAAAAGAAATGAAGGAAACCCCTCCCCCCCTCCACACACACATACGGTCCTAGACCGAGGCTGGAAGGGCCTGAGAGTTCAGCCTCCTCTTTAAAGGTAAGGAAACTGAGGACCAGAGCATGTAAGTGACCTGTCCAGCTGCCAGCAGCTGGGGCAGGATCTGAACCTGGCTCCTCCTGCTGCTAAGTCTAGCTCACTGTCATATGTTAGAGAAACACCCCAAAATCATTTCATAAACATCATGGCCCAAGAGTGGCAGAGCTTTGAGGGGTTGTCCTGTCTCCAGCCCCAAACTTAAGAGTAGCCCACAGGTTTCTGGTAGTGTCGCTCCTTCTCTCTGAAGAGCCCACTGGTCTTTTAAGATTGGCCCAGAGCCAGGGGGTGCTGGGCCTGCCGGCAAGAAGATCTGAGTTCAAATCTGGCCTCAAGACACTTAATAATGTACCACTCTGGGCGAGTCACTTAACCTCTGTCTGCCTAAGAGGAGGACCATAATAGCACCTCCCCTGGGGCTTTCGAGAGGGTCAAGTGAGACAATACTCGTAAAGCGCTTAGCACATACTAGGTGCTTTATACATGCTTGTTTGCCTGGTGGCAGGACACCCATAACCTCCTCTGATATCAGCCTGGCCTGGGTCACGCAGGCTTCAGAGACAGGCGGGCAGGGGGAAGGGGGCCCAGGGCCCGATATGTGGGAGGCACTCAGAACACGTAGGCTACTGCGTGATCCAAACATGTAAGAGCTTAGATGGCCACATGGGCATGGAGACCCTCTGACCTCCACATAGTGCCCCGCCTGTCCGGGCCTGGCAGGAGCCCAGGATCCTCGTGGAGAGGGACGAGGCAGAGATGCCTCCTGGCCGGGCTAGCCAGCTCAGTACTGCACACAAGGCCATCCCTGCATCTGTCCTGGCTCAGTGAGAGGGAGGACCAGAAGAGAATGACCAGCAATACCCCAAGAGGTGAAGGGAGACACTTTAGGAAATCCTGTCCGCCCTCTGCTGTGCCCATGGGAAGCAGAATCAGACAGAGACTCCCACGAGGCCAAGAGTCGGGGGCTGGGGCTGCAGTCAGGAGACCAGCACAAGAGGCCGTGTGACCTTGGGGGAGTCCATTAACCTCTTAGGGCATCAGACTGCCCCCAGGCTGGCTCACAGCTGTGACTCACACCCCTGTCCCCTCCCTGGCAATCCTGGGGCCAGCTCTTCCCCTCCACTTGCCCTCCTCCTCTCCCTCCTCCATGGGCGGGCCAGATGAGCCCAGAAGGTCTCCTCTCCCCATTCCTGCCCAGCAGAGGCACAGAAGCCACAATCATGTTTCCTTTAGAAGCTTTATTGCCTTTTCACTTTTCAGATTAAAAACAAAACCCAGTCTCTTTGACAGACAGTTTGGTGCCCACCTGTCGAGCCATCCCTGATTGTAAAGTGCATTTCCCTGGAACATGTGCATATAAAAATATCTTTTTTTCTGAAAAACACACAGAAACGTCTTTAACAAGGCACGTTAGGCACACCACGGAGGAGAATCCTGGGCTGTCCATTCACACGGGCTAACAAGTACCCTGTCCCACCGCATGTCTGGGAGATAGCCCTCCATGTCGCCCTACACCTCCCACGGGTGGGCCATCGCCTCAGCCCCACCAGCGCGCGTTGGGGTATGCTCACTTCCCTGATGGCTCCGGCTGGGTGGCCACTGTCCCCGTGGGATGGCCCAGCTCCAGACCCCCTTGTCCTGGGGCTGTCCTTCCCCACAGAGACAACCTTGGACACTGAATCTGGGGCGCCAAAGAAGGTCTTTCTGTGTTCCTTCAGGAATTGGTTTGATTTCTAGAGAGGAGAGTGTCCATCTCCTTCTCTACCTCCCCCCCCACTATAAATCTACCTTAAAATCTTACCTGGGCTTCCTCTGCCCGGGGACTGCCCAAAGCTAGTGAGTCACCAGGCTGGCTTACTGCACTGGGTCTGGCACGTCTGCCCTGGAAAGGGCATCAAGGAAGGGGAATGGGGACGAGGCTTGTGAATGACAGTCGACCTCATTTCCTAAGTAACTGGACAGGGAAATGGGCTGACTGCCTTGAGGAGTGAGCTCCCCATCACGGACGTGAAGACGACCCCTCTTCAGTTATAGGACTTGATCCACCCTCCTCGGGGGAGCTGGGCAGTGGGGACAAAGCCAAGAAGACCTGGGTTCTATTCCTGTCTCATCGACTGGGGCAAGGGACTGAACCTCTCCGTTCCTTGGGCAGTAAGACAGGACACTATAGGAAGGGGCTGGTTGCACTGGCAAAGGGATTTTCCTCCCCTGGGAGTTCCCCCTCCGGTGCTGGTTACAGCACAGGGCTAGTCTTGCATAGCTCACGGAGGCAGAGGGCAGGGCAGCCACCGCTCACTCGTCTCCCTTGGCCCTGAGCACCTTCAGCTGCTCCTCGCTGAGTTAGCTGGGTCAGCAGCTGTGGTCCCCCTCCTGGGGCTGGGTATGAGTCACCCCTCCCAGTTCTAGCTCTGGTCCAGACCAGGCCACACTCCCAAAGGAAAGGAGCAGGTTCAAGGTGCCAGGAACCCGGGAGGGTTACAAACGAGCAGCCCCATCCATGTTACAGATCAGGAAACTGAGGCCCAGAGACCTTGGGAAGAATGTGGGCCTGAACTCTAGCCTGGCCTCCTCCCAGCAATGAGACATCAGGCATGCGATGGATGGGGCCTCCAAAAATGTCTCTGGCTCTAAGTCCTATGAATGGACTCATGCCAGGCCACCCGAGTGGCTGAGGCAGGATTTGAACCCAGGGCCCCAGCTCTAAATGCCCAACTCCATAACTGGCTCCTTCTTTTTAAGGAGGAAGTTACAGATGACCTGGAGTAACCCATCTACAGCACTGAGGTTGACCTGGAAGGGATTCCTCAAACCATCCCCGGGGCCATTTCAGCAGGACGGGAAGACACGGCTGCCCCCTTCATTCTCCTGCGTGTAATCCTCAGAGATCACTGACCTTGGCCAACAGAGGCTGAGATAACAGGCAGCACTGGGCCACAGATGAGCCCAATCACAGGGACCAATGCTTCGTCCCATGGCTCACCAGGTAAACGGAGCCACTTAAAGCCACAGACACTGCTTTGGGACCAAGACGCTGGCTTTGGAAGGCGGGGCCTCGCTGCCACCCAGACCATGGCGGGCCAGGAAGAGGGGAGGGAGGGCAGAAGAGCTAGTCTCAAACTTCTCTACTTTGTCTGTTTTTCCTGAAGGGAAGAGGAACAGTGTTGGGAAATAAACTCCCTCGAGCCCCCATCAGCATGCAACCAACGACAGCACTGACAGCCCAAGTGAGTGTTCTGTGTCCGTCAGGTGAGGAATAGCAGCATGAATCAGGAGAGAACCCAGAGCGGGCAGCAAGCACTGAAGGCAGGACTGGAATGATCCCCCACCCCCATGTGGAAGCCGTATTTCCTAGTGCTTTAAGAAATGCATGGAGAAGGCCACAATGCCCCCTGAAACCTGCTGCTAGCTGCAGCGGAATGTGGCAGACAAGGGCTAGACAGACAGAGAGAGAGTCAAGAAACCCAACTCCCACCCTTCCCAGCTAAGTGACCACGGGTGAGCCACTTCCCATCTCACAGCCTCAGTTTCCTCCTCTGTAAAATGGGGCTAAAATCACTCACACCCTCTCCCTCGGAGGGCGCGGGTGAAGACAGCGCTTTGTAAACCTGTCCTGGTTTGGTGATTATTGTCTTGGGAGGTCCCTAGAAGGCCCCTGACTCCAACCCAGACCCCACCCCACGCCCCCCACTCTCACCGTCCTGCCTGTCTCCAGCACCAAGTCTCTCGGCATGCCACCAGAGGTAGCTAGGTTGCGCCTTGAGTGAATGCCTGTGTTTGGGGAACATAATCCTGAGCGGACTGGCTGGTATCCTAGCAAACGGCACCCTTCAAAGAAAAGCTGTGCCCCGGGGCAGTCTGCCTTTCCTGTCTCTCTCCTAGGCTGCTAGGAGCCCAGAAACCTTTGGCCTAATGCACAGGGGCCCCCAGCCAGGCACATCTATAATCTCACAGAACAAGCATCCGTCCCACTATGGCGCTAATAGTAAGGGCCCAGCTTCTCATATCCCAGATAACTCGGCCACTCCGCGTACAGGCCGTAGGAGCACCGAGGACTCCCGAAGTGATCCAGGGAGATCCCCAAGTCAGCCCCAGTCTGGGGAGGCGCCCCGCTCTGCGTGCCCTGGAGCTCCGCCTGGATGATCCGATAGTTCCTGCCCCGGTTGCTGTCCCAGTACGTCTGCCCGTTACACTCATAGCACACAGCGAACTCCATCCTCTCATAAGACTGGATCTTCTCAGGCAGGCTGATGGTGAAGGAGAAGGTGTCCCTGTCCGAGCCCGCGTACGTGTCCTTCACGTACTGGCACTCAAAGTCTGTGAAGCTCTTCCACGTGTCGAAGGTCATGCGGATTTTCACCGACTTCTCAAAGGCGAGGTTCTGTACCTTCACAGTCCCCGAGATGGCCTTGTCCTTTAGCACACAGTTCTCCAGGCAGACATAGTCGGCCTGCAGCCGGTTCTGGAAGCTCAGGTAGTCGGTAGACGGCTGCTCAAAGTCCAAGACGAAGCTCTCGCACTCAGCTGTGGTCAGGGTCACGATGTTCTCCAGAAGCTCCGTGATGTTGAACGGGATGTCCAAAGGGTCATCGAACTCCGAGTACACCTTCACCATGGTCAAGGCCAGCCCTTGGTTATCTGCAAAGGACACACGCTTTTTGGCCTTCTTCTCCTGGACGAGTGGGGCCATGAGGCTGTTGGCCTCACTCTGGCTGCTCAGCTGAATGCAAGGCCGCAGGGGCTTGGTGGGTTTGGGCAGGATCTTGCAGGCAAACCTGTCCCGGCGCAAAGGGGGAGCCACACAGCCGTATCCATACTCGATGTCCACTGCCATGATGGGGCGAGGAGGAGGAGAACCCTGGGAGAGGAGACAAACGGAACAGGAAAGTGGTCAGTGCCCATGGGCAGCCGAGGGCCTGGGGCAGGTTAACAGGTGAGGCATTCATTTCCACTCGGGCTTTAGGCTGAGAAGCCACAAGGCAGAAGATCAGGATTGGAGTCTGGAGGCCAAGGCTGTCAATAATTGTAGGGGTCACAGCAGATACAACGTCAGGCCTGGGGTCTGGAGGACCTGAATTCAAATGCGGCCTCAGACACTTACTAGCTGTGTGACCCTGGGCAAGTCACTTCACCCTGTTTGCCTCACTTTCTCATGTGTAAAATGAGCTGGAGAAGGAAATGGCAAACTACTCCAGCATCTCTGCCAAGAAAACCCCAAATGGGGTCATGAAGAGTCAGACACAACTCAAAACTGACCGAGCAACTAGACTGATAACAATGTGGGGAAGGCATGCCAAGGGTGACCATCCTCCCTCTATAAAGAGGGAGACTGAGGCTGCAGAGATTTGCTCATGAGCCTACTGCTCCCCAGGAGAAGCAATTCCAACCCCTGCCCTGCCCAGGAGGGTAAAAAAATCACCAGTCACGGAAGGAACCGACAGATGGAATCTGGCCGTGTGCCCATGGTTCAACAAAGGGAAATTAGCCCAGAGCCTGCCTGTTCCATGAATGGAAGCCAACATGAACCTCGGGTTCTAGAAACTCCTATGAGTTGGGACACCTGTAGCAGCCTCGCTGTCTCCGTAGCCCTGGCTCCCCAGACAGTGGCTGGCCTGCAGCGGGTGCTCAGATGCACGCTGAGCGACACAGAATTTCATCAAGAAGTTAAATAGAGTCTACGGGACAAACTCATTTCAGATTCGCTCACCCTTTTACAGACTGTGGGCACAGCTGGCCAGTTTCCACCCCTTGCCTTCTCCAGGGTTCAAAGAACTGATTCAAACAAATTTCAATGACCCCATGAAAAAAAATCCAACCACACAAAACCCACATACACACCCCCTTAGGAAAACAACTTTTGAACTCACAGAGCAAATTAGTGGCAAAACCAGTCTGAAAATTGGTCCCCAAGTTGAACAGGTAGTCTGGACTGTCGCTCAGGTGACCCCCTGCCTTCTCCTGCCAGAAGTGGGGGTGCTGAGGTACTTTCCTACACAATCTCCTCCCCTGTCAAAGGGGTGGGGGCCCTGACAACCCTCTCTCCTAATGTCTGAGAAGGTCAGACTTCATGCGAAAACATGAGGCCTATCCCAAAGTCTCATTCCCTGAACTACTGTGGCAGGGTGTGAAGCTCTCTAAATTTGGAGTGAGAGGGCCCAGCTTGGCCACTTACTACCTGCATGACCTTGGCCAAGTCACTCCCCCAGGAGGCCTCAGTTCCTTCTTCTGAAATGAAGGGATCAGCCTGGATGGCTTCTCGGGTCCCTTCTAGCCCTACATCTATGACTCCAGACACCCAGAGGTGTTCGGCAGAACCTGGGCCTCAAAGCTGAGACGTCACAGACAAAACACAATTGGTAAAACAGAATGTCACCAGGGATTCCCCACCCCCAGGTCTGTCTAGGACCACAAGTGCAGGTGAGGCAACACCAGGAGACAGACACATGGGGGGAGGGTGTGCCTAAGGCGCTAACAGGTGTCCCAGCTTCCACCCCCACCCCAAGCCCAGCTGTGAGTGGGAGGGATCTCACTGAAGCCTAAGGCCACCGGTCAACCTTGGGACAGCTTTCTGACTGCTCATTAAAAAAGAAGAGGGTACTTAGCCAGGGTTAACAGTGGGCAGTGCTGAGCATGTGTGTATGAGAGAGAGTGAACACGAGTGTGTGTGAATAAGTGTTATGAGTGTGTGTGATTGTATGTGTAAATACAAGTGTGTGAGTGTGTGAATAAGTTTGTGTGCAATTGTGTGTATGAGCATGAGTGTGTGTGAATGAGCATGTGACTATGTGTGAATATGAGTATGTGAATAAGTGTATTGTGCACCTGTATGTGTGTATAAGTATGTGTGGTTGTATGTGAATAAGTGTATATGTGTGTGAGTGTGGGTGTGAATATGAATGTGTGAATAAGTGTGTATTACTGTGTATATGTATGAATGTGTCTATGTGTGTGACTGTATATGTGAGCGTGTACGAGTGTGTGTGTGTGGCCGGGGAGGATTCGGGAGAGAGCAGAAAGCCCAGAAGCCCAGGCTGGGAGGGGTGGGGCTGGTATCCCTGCCCCTCCCCCTCACACTGTGAAAAGCTGTGGGCCTCGGAGGGGGAGACCTGGATTCCAATCCAAACTCTGCCATGTGCAACCTCAAGAAAGTCCTTTCCCTCCTCTGGGGTCTCAGTTTCCCCTTCTGTAAAAAGGGGAATGCACTGATGGCCGGCCCTAAGGGACTGAGCCTCAGGCTAAGAACAAAGATTCACTCTCTGCACTTCTGCCTCAGGATTTACAAGAGGAGGTGGGGGTGACAGCAGTGGAAACTGAGGCTTGGAGAGGGCCCCTGCCGAGCAGCACACAGCGGGACTTGCCATTCAAAGCAGGAAGGGCTCAGAGGTTCCCCGGCCTAATGCCCCCAGTTCACAGCTGAGAAAAAGGAGGGGGCCCAGAAAAGTTCCCAGGAAGCTCCCTGGCACATGGCTGCCACCCAGGTCCCTCTCTCTGCTGCATCAGTCAGTGCCTGCCTTCCTGCTCTGCTGGCTGGCCCCAAGCCTTGGGGAGACCCTGGAGCCTTCCCTGCACCCTAGCTGGGCAGAGCTCTGGACAGCAGGATTATGTGGATTCAAATCCCAGGCTAGCTGTGCGAGCCTCGCAAGGCCCTCTCCCTCTCTGGCCTCTCTCTCCTGCCATGTCCATTCTTATCACCAACCTGCTGGATGTCGCATCCCCACCCCTGCCCTGGCTTCCCACAGGTATGGATGGAGGCATGTCTGGGCTCCCCATGCGGTAGCACTTCCCTGAGTGTGGGCAGGTGCCCCTCTCCCTCCGAGGCCCACAGGCGGGGTGGCCTGGTGCTGGACCAGAGCAGCAGCTTTGGAGACAGAGGCTCTGATTGCTCTCTACATGACCCCAGGAAAGTCATCCTTCTCTAGGCATCCCTGGTTTCTTCCCTCGCAGTGAGGGGGCTACTCTGGGAGGCCGGCAGCTCCACCAAAAGGCAGGCTCTGGGGGTCTTTCTTCCCTGCCCATCCATCCCCAGCAGCTTCTGTCTCCAGAGAGCCCTCCACTCTGGGTAACTCGGTAGGAGGCAGTCGGCTGATCCCCTCGAAGCAGCCCCGGTCCTGCTCCCAGGCTCCTCCACGTCCTCTCTCTCTCCTGTTTACTCTGGTTCAGCCAGGGCACTAGGCTTGGGGTCAGCTTGACCCCCACCTTCCTGAGTCTAAATCTATCACCCTAGCTATCCATTACGTCACACTGTCACAGCAAGCAACCACAAAACCTAAGGCCCAGGTTAAATGACTTGCCCAGGTCACACAGTGAGGAAGTGTCTGAGGAAGGATTCTAACCCAAGTCTTCTGCCTCCCCAGAATCCCACCCTGGGTGTGACAGAGTGGATGGAAGCCCACAAGAGACCAGCCCAGAGTAAGGATGTCAGTGTGGACAGAAGTCCAGAGTGAAGACCTGCCCCCCAGGGGCTGGGCGGAGACCAGGCCCCTCCCCACAGGCCCCTGGCTGGGGCCAGAGGAAGAAGGAAATGGGCAGAATCCTGGCTCTGGCCCTGCCTACCTGACTGACCTTGGATATCTCATTTGACTCTGCTATGATTATCCCCATTTTGTACACAGGAAAACTGAAGCCAAGAGAGGTTCAAGTAACTTGCCCAGGATCACACTGCTACCAAGTGTCAAAGGCAGTATGCAAACTCAGGTCTTTCGGACTCCAGGCCAATTCTCTATTCAATCCACTTCACCATCTAGCTCAGATCCTTCCCCTCTCTGGGCTTCAGTTTCCTTTCCTGTAAGACTGACATCTCTTCTAGCTCTAGGGACGGTGGCCAGAGGGAGGTCAAGCAGCTGTGAGGCCAGCAGGGAATGCATTTTTCAACACCCTCCCTACTTGGTCCCCTCATGACCAACTGTCTTAGTAACAGCTAGAAGCCACAGCAGGCTCTAAGTAGTGACAGGATTGGGGTTGGGGTGGAAGGGGGCCTTCCTAGAGCCTTGACAGCTGTATCTGCTCTGCTGCTTGGCGCCAAACATTCCCGCCCCAGCCCCAGAGGATGCCGTCTGCACTCAGGCAAAGGTACTGGCCCCTGACAATGAGCCCAAGGCTTGCAGGCTTCCTTGAAACCCAGAAACCTATTTATATCATCAGCCAGAGAGCCCTGGAGTCAGGGGTAGACAACCCAAATTCAAACCCAGGCTTTCTTCCCTACTATCTGCCTGCCATCCATCTGTCCATCCAGCCTTCCATCCGTCCATCCATCCATCCATCAGTCCGTCCATCCATCCATCCATCTGTCCATCCATCCGTCTGTTCATCCAGCCAGCCAGCCCTCCATCCGTCCCGTCTGTCCATCCATCCATCCATCCGTCTGTCCAGCCCTCCATCCGTCCATCCATCCATCCGTCTGTCCATCCATCCCTCCGTCCTTCCTTCCTAGCACTGTTACTCAGGGCAATCACGGGCCTTCTCTGGGTCCCACTATCCTCCTTCAGGGGTTGGGTTACATGCACCAACATCCCTCAGTTGCCACACCTACTCTCCTACCAAGGTCACAAGAACAGCATGTTCTAGTGAAAACTGTCCTGGGCTGGGAGTCAGGGAGCCTGGGTCCCAGATCCACCTCAGCTGCTCACTCAACATGTGCTCTCTCAGCCCCTGTGGGCCCCAGTTTCCCTCTGTGGACAGAAAAGGAGATTGGACCAGCCAGCCAGTCTCCAAGGGCCCTGATTCATAAGTCCTGGAACAGGGTAGACATTTAAGACAGCCCATTCTGACAGCCTTCTATAAAATGTGGTTCCCGTGGCACCAGGCCAGACTGCCTCCTGCTGGGTAGACAAAGCTTCATGGTTCTTTGCAAATGGACAGGACAGCCTAAGCAAGTCTCCCAGGCAGCCCTGGGAACCCTTGCCTGGCCACAGCCTTGACTAAGTCCATCTGATAAGGAGAGCTGGCTCCCAGTGGCTAAAGAAAAGACCTCAATTGGGAAGTGTTTCATCAGCCGTGCGACCCTGGGCCCTCTGCTTCAGAATGGGCTGTGAGTACTGCCTGTGCCAGCTGTCCAGATCGAGCCACGCCCAGAATGCTGCCGTCTCTCACCACCCCCCTCTTCCTCCCTTGGCTCTGGGTCCAGTAAGCAAACTGCACTCCCGCAGTCAGGCTGCTCTGTGGCCCCATTCAGCAGCTCTGGCACTACCCAGACCTAAACACCTACCCCTGGTTTTCACCCTTCCAGAGGAGCTGTTTTGAGGGCATGCCTTTTGTCATTGTATGCTGGCCGCCGAGCACAGGGCCTGGCTTAATAAATGCTTGTTGTCTGATTGGTGGGGGAGGGGACATCGGAGATGCCAGACCAGCACAGCTCTGATATCAGATAAGCCCAGCATCGAGGATTCCAGCCAAGTAAAGCCGGGCATCTCCCTTTGCTCCCCCTCCTTCAGCCTTCCTCCAGCCTTGCTGGGCTGTCAGCCATACATGGGCCCTTGACCTCCAGTATCCACTTTATTTCCAAAGTCAGGGGCCCTTCTGGAAAATCCCCAAAGTACAGTGGCAACTTCTGCAGGAGGGCCCCTTTCGTGTTCCAGAGCCTTGTTTGGGGGCCCCCACGTTGCAGACCTGCCCTTCACAAAAACCTCAAATCCTCCTCAGAGGCCTGCAACTCATTCTGAAGCTGGCCTTCCCTCAACACTCACTCAAATTGCTAAGCTTCATCCTTCCACAACGCTGGCTTAGCGCTAGAAGGGGCCCTTGGAAACCACCGAGTCCAGCCTCCACCTTTTACAGATTCAGAAACTGAGGCTGAGAGAGACCAAACCCTCTGCCCCAAGGGGCACACAGCTAGTAAGTGCTTGAGGCAGGTCTTCCTGCCTGCCCACTCCACTCACAGCCTCTCACTAGCTCTGGGCTCCTCATCTCTAAAATGGGGGAGGGGCAAGATGAAACCAAAGCTCCTACATTCTAGGACTGTTCTCCCCAAGAGATAGTTGCAGGCTACCAGCTGGGCTGCAGCGCCGTTCTCCCCACCCCCTCTCCTAGCGCCGCAATCCTGGCCTCCTTATGGAAGAGGTGTTGTGTGTTTGAGAGGCAGAGGCTGGCCCCTTTGCAGGATGGCCTCACTGGGCTGACCATCCCAGGAAACGAGGCACCTGCCCACAAACCCCCAAAGCCAGAGTCTTGGTAGTCAGGGGAACTGGGCTCCCTTCCGAGCACTGCCACCAGTTAGCTAATAAATAGGGGCCGATCACTTCCCCTCCTGGGCCCTCAGATGCCTCAGGAGCCCCAACCAGAGAGCCCAGTCCACCCCCTTCCCCCAGCTTCCCCAAGGCAGAGCATTTCGAGTTACAAAGGAGAGGGAGACACAGGCCTGCCACCCGGAAGGTGCCTTTCTCTGAACTGTTCGGACTGGAAGGTATACTGGAGAACCACTCATCTAGCAGACGGGGAAACTGAGGCTGCCAGGAGCAGCGACTTGTTCACCGCTGGTGGGGGCCTAGTGCTTCGGCCCGCCCCCGGGCAGGAGCCCAGGAACTGGCAACCTAAGCAGGCCCGTGTCGTGGGGCCGTACGCAGCTGGCCTTGCGGTGCCCGTCCCCTCCAGCTGTGACACTCCAAGCTCCAGCTAGCCTCCTGCCCCACCCCCAGGCAGATCCTGGATGGGGGAGGGGGGGAATCGGCTCTCCCCTCTCCCATCCCGACCTGGAGGACTGCCTCGGCACTCACCTGGCTGGATGCCGGGGAACCCCGTCTCTCTCGCGGGGAAGGGGAGGGGAGGCAGCGGCTGAGGCAGCGCGGAGCCTGAGCCCCAAACCGGGGCTACGTGCTCATCGGGCCGGCCTGGATGGAGAGCGAAGGGAGGTCGAACCCCGCGGCCGGAGATCCACCCGGGGAGTAGAGGGAGGGAGAGGAGGAGCCGAAAGAGGAGCGGGAGGAGCAGCGGCCGGGGGCCCGCCCCCCATCCTGATCCACCCACTGGCCCCGCGGGCTCCCCCGGGTGGCAGCCCGCGACACTGCCCTGGTGGCGGGGGAGGGAGGGCGGGGTAGAGGGTCACAGAGCGGTGCGCTTAGCGCTCCGTGCCAGCAGACCAGCCCCCAGCCCCCAGCCCCCAGCCCTGGGCTTCGCGCCCACAGAGCCCCCTTCTTCCCCAGCAAAGACCACGCCAGGAGGAAACTGAGGCAGCCCGTTCCAGTCGGGGACCGAAAAGGATGGGGTGATCCGAACCCCCTTCTGGGCCCTCAGGACCCGAAGGCCGCTGTCCTTCGGGGTGAGTAAGTGTGTGTGTGAGACTGTGAGCACAAGCGGGACGGGGATGGGGATGGAGTGCAGAGGGGACACTCTGAGGATCTCGTGGCTGGAGTGGGGGGGGTATTGAGGTCGGTTAGGCCCGCCCCTTCGTTTTACAGAGGAGGAAACTGAGGTCTCGGTTGTTTTGGAATTGGATAGGAAGGGCAGGACCTCCTGGACACAAAAATCTGTCCCGAGGGTGGGGGGTGGTTCCAGGGAGCCTAGGGTGCTGCCCCATCCTCACCCCTCCCGCTTCTCCGGAGGAGGACCCCTGGGGCCCTCGCGCTAGGTGGGCGGGAAGGGACTTGCCTAGGGCCCCGAAGGCGAGCATACGGGGAGGGAAGGGTTGTCCCAAGCCCGGCTCCCCCCACCCCACCCCGCTTCAGTCACTCCAAGAACGGAGCCTGCGGCTCCCCCAGCGGCGAGCGACTTGCACTCCCTCTGGCGCCGCCTCGGCTCCTGTGCCCCACGAACAAGGCGAGGCGATCTGGACGATCCGCAGGATTGACCGGAGCCCTGCCCAGCACCTCCTCCCAAAACTCGGACCTACCTGCTCAGCCTAGCCGCCGCTGCAGTCCAGAGCCGGGCCCGGGGCAACTTCTGCTCCCTTCCCTCGGGGGCCAGCGCCAGTGGGTGCAGCCGGCCGGCGTCCAGGCCACCTCCCGTGGGGTGCTGCCCGCGGGCACCTTTAAGCCTCTGCCCCTGCCCGGGCGCCCGCCCCACCCCCAGCCAACCTGGCCCCTGCCCCCGCCCCCCCCGACCCCTGGCCAATGGGCGCGCTCGGGCCGCAGGGCCGGCCAATGATGGGGCCGACCATCGGGAACCGTGGGTCAGCACTCCACAGGCCGGAGGCCCGCCGCGTGACGGGCCTCCGGCCAAGGCTGGGGAGACGGCATGCCGGCAGCGTGGCGCTCCGTTGGCAGCGGCACAGACGGCTGGGAGGAATGGGAGGGGGCCTGGGGCTGGGCCTCTGCATGGTGAGGGTGCCAGAGCCCCCAGAACCGCCCCAAAGTCCATCCGGCGGTCAGTCACTAGTCAATCAAAAGGCATTGAGTGCCAGGCACTGGGCTAGGGGCTGGAGATAGATACCGAGAGGGGCACCCCCGACCCACCCAGCTCTGCCCCTGCCCTCATCCCCAGTCAGAACAGAGCATCTATGCGAGCGCCGGCGGCCAGGGTGCGTGGAGCTCCCAGAGGGAAATGCAGCGTCCCCCAACTGAAAGGTCTGCCTCTGTACTGCAGTAGGAGGAAGGACTTCTTCTGGACCCCCAGCTCCCTGCCTTCAAAGCTCTGCCCCTAACTGACCCAACGTTAGCGGCCCCCCCTTCTCTTAGGCCAGGGGCGGTGGGGGACAGTGCAATAGACTGCCTTAAAATGTGTGTGACCTTGGGGGCGCCCTGCCACCACCTGCGACCTCCCTGTCCCCCTGTGCACCATGACTGGCCTCCGGGATTCCTTCCAGGATTCCTGCCAGGGCCGGATCTGGCTCCTATCTGTGTACACTCCTGGCTTCCCTGGCCGTCAGGTGAATGTGAGCCTTTGAGGTCAGGGACAGTTTTTAACTGTATCCTCTACACTTCGATTTTTTTTCTAGTAGGTGTGAACTAATAATTATTCCTTAAATCAATCAAAGAGGGAACTTTGTTTAGAGCCTTAAAGAGCCAGCTTCCAGGGTCTCACTGGTGGGATCTGATCCCTGGCAAGTCGCCCACCGGCTGTCCACCTGCATTCACAGGAGGAGTTTCCCATCTGCACATTCCCTACACCAACCAAGTCACAGGTCCAGTCTGTACCCTCTCGATCCCACTATGTGCCAGTCAAGTCCTATGCCCTGAGGATACAGAGACACACAAAAGACAGTGTCTGCCCCCCAGAAGCTTCCAGTGTAAGCAAGGAAGCCAATATGTCAACATACTGCTACTTCGGTGTCTATATACATATACACACAATAGATACAAGAGCACAATATAGAAATATACAGCTCTGTGTGTGCATACATGCATACACATGCACACACACATACTCAATAGATAATAGATACAAAGTGATTTGGGGAGGCGGCAGGGTCAGGAAATCATCTATGGCTTCATGTCCAACATACACTTGAGTTGAACTTGCAAGGAAACTACAGATTCTGAGTGACTGAGATGAGTGGGAAGGGCATTCCTGGCATGAGAACCAGGCAGTACAAAGGCCTGGAGGTGGGAGATAGAACATCCTGCATGGGGAACAACCAGTAATATATCAGATTGAAATGGTAGGTTGGGGCTGGGCAGTGAAAGGCTGTGAAATCTAAACTGAGGCGCTTGATTATGTTGGATTCCCGAGGTAAGTAACCGGGAGCCGCTGAAGCTTATCGAGCTGGGGAGTAACATGATATGGATAGACTTTCACAAAATGACTTTGGCAGCAGTGTAGATGTTGGACTGGAGGCTGGGAGGCCCATTTAGAGGCTGTGGCATTAGTCCAAGCAAGAGGTGACGAGGACCTGAAATAGGATGCTGGGTATGAGAGGAGAGAGAAGGGGCCATGTGAAGTTTGAGAAAACCATCAGATCTGGCATGGAAGAGGTCAGGGGTAACGTTGGATACAGTGGCTTTGTTGAATGATGAGGCTGGAAGCCAGATGGCAGAGGGTTGAGAAGTGAGTGGTATGAGAAAGGAGGCACCAAAGGCAGCAGCTTTTTCTAGAACTTTGGCAGTGAAAGGGAGGAGAGATATGGGAGGATAGCTCGAGGGGATGGTTGTATGTAAGGAGAGGTTTTTTCTGAGGATGGGGGTGACTGGTTATGTTCGTAGGCAGTAGATAGAGATTGTAGATGGGGGAGAGATAGGGAGAGAAGAGAAGAGAAGAGAAGAGAAGAGAAGAGAAGAGAAGAGAAGAGAAGAGAAGAGAAGAGAAGAGAAGAGAAGAGAAGAGAAGAGAAGAGAAAGAGAAGGGTGAGAGAGAGGAATGAGAGAGAGAAGAGAAAGAAGAGGGGGAGAGAGAATGATCAAAGAGGAGTCTGCTACAGAAAGTATCCATCCTTTCTCTCTCCTCATATGGTCCCCACTCTAGTTCAAGGCACTTCAAGGTCCTATGAAAAGCAGTCTCTGTCGTCAAGGAACTTACATTCTGGTAGGGCTGAGGATGGGGTGCTATAACACAGGAAGATAGACAGGATCATTGCAGGAGGGCAAGGCTTCCTGACCCCCATAGTAAAACCCAGGGCTGTGATGAAGTCTTTATCTCAGAGGCTTAGCCACTGAAAATTATGAAACTCTTCTAGCGTGCTCTGTGCTGGGAAAGGCTTGGCAGGAGGTCACGGGGGATAAAGCTGATTCCATGTTCTATTGATCAGTCTACCAACAAGCATCCGTTCAACCCGTGTTTCATGCCCAGCCTTGGGCTGGGTGCTGGGGGAACCAATGTTGGAGTAAAGCAAGCCTTCCTCTCAAAGAGCGTACAGTCCAGTCAGGGGAGAGAATGTAGGTCTCTCCAACACAGACACAAAATGATTTTGAGGGGAGATGTTAGCAGTTGGGGAGATCAGGAAAGACCTCATGGAGGTGATGCTTGAGCTGAGCCTTGAAACAAGAAATCTGCAAGATAGAGGTGAGGAGAGAGTGCATTCCCGGCAGGAGGCAGGGGATGGGGTGCCCATACAGGAAAGCCAGCTCCGCCAGACCATTGAATCCAGGAGAAGGGGAAATGAGGCCAGAAAGAACAATGAGGACATTCCAGTATATTTAATAAGACAAGACTAACCCATAGGCTATGACCCCAACCAAGCCCCCAGAGCCACAGACCTCAGAAGAGGGCGTTTAGCTGGCTGGCCCAGTCCCTCATTTCCCTGGGGACAGGTCTGATGTAGGACCACCTGCCATGAAGTGGTTATCCTGAAGTGGTTGGCAAACCAACTTCCTGTGCAATCTTCCACTCCGCCAATTCCAAGCCCTTGATTGATGGCCGATGAACGAGATGGAGGGTTATGGAGTCTCTTGTTGGCTCAGTTTCCTAAGTGAGTGGGCATGCCAGAAACTTCGATGAGCTAAGGAGCCAGCACTCTGGGCATTGCAAAATTTGTGCAAACATCTTGGGCTGAGGCCAGCTGGGAAAAACTTGGAATGGGCAAACACAGGCTGGGAACACCAGGGTTTACAAAACTCTTTCTCCCTGGGACTAGAAGAGCTGGGGCCTGAAGCCACCACCATGGTTTAGGGTCTTGTTTCTGGCCCCAGGGCAGCAGGGCTAACTTTTGCATGGGCACCTGTCTTCTCAGATGGTGCTTCAGAAGAAGGCAGCCTGTCCCTGGCCATCTCTGTCCTTGGAGAGCAAGGTTCTTGGGCAGCCTGAGAGCTTATTATAGCAGCTGACATAAACTGTCTGAGGAGAAGGGAATCCAGCAGGGCTTAGAGGTCATCTGGGCAACGCTATCTATAAGCATTAACTACTCGAAATGTATGTTCATGCTGTACGAATTTGTACATGTACTTGTCTACCCCATTAAAATGTGATCTCTTTGAAAGTAGGGATTGTTTCATTCTTCTGTGTATCTTTTGTCACATTCTCAAGTGTATCCCCAGGGCCTAGAACAGTGCTTAGCACATAGGAGGTACTTCATAAATGCTGGTTTGGATT